TAGACGGCTCCCCGAGACTCAATCTAGAATTTTTATCTGCTTAGGAAGCTGAGCTTTTACCGTTAAGGTCTGGTGGATTATTGAATATTTCGGCCCAAATATCTTCAGGGTCTTGAGCATCTTGCAATGGTGTATCTTCTTCCATAGAAAATGTGTGACTATGAGTCTCATTATTATCAAAGGCTTCAAAGATTTGCCTTTTGAAATGTTCTAAGCACTTTTTTTTAATTTCTGTTTCAGTGCTTTGAGGATATTTCCTTCGCATCATTTTAGCAATTTTCATCATTGGATTATCATTTTTAATTTCTTGAGTCTTATGAGACTAGAACAGAAGTATTTTTCTGTATAATTTCTTCAAGTTGTTTTACCTTAGTATCAAAGCATATTCCGTTCCATCATCTGCAGTAATATTTTCTTCTCAGAACAGGCATATGAGAAGGGGTCCAATCACAAATAATAGACCAATTCCAGATCCATGGGATCTCAACTTCAGCGAAGAAGTGTATTAAACAATTTGAATTAAACCCACATGTATATATTTATACCTATCCAAATATGGATTGACATCCGCAACACCTAACAGTTGGATGGTTTGTTCTTCTCTATTGACTGTAGTAGTCCTTTCTAGGGTTTTTATATTTATTAAAGACTTCTAGTCTAGAAAACCAATTTTATATGTCCCTATTAGGTACATCTGGTATGGTCCACTTATTAAATGATTCTATGTCAGTCTCATATTCAGTTAACTGAGCATTTTTAACTTTTTTCATTCCAGTATAACTGGATTTTCGAGCCGAAATCTCTGCTAGGTCTGACATAGAATCACTTAATAATGCAGCACTTAATAATGCAGCTGAAAGAGAACGAGGAGTTCCTTGATTAGTTATAAACTATAAACCTTTAAATAATGTCCTTAAATGGATCAGATATCCAATTCCTAATAAAAGGGATTTGTTAAATCGCATTACTAATGCAAAAAATATTTTCTAAGTTTGATTTAAAATCAGGCTATTGGCAGATTCAAATAGAAAAAAAAAAAGATAAACACAAAACTGCCTTTGTAGTCCCGTTTGGACATTATGAATGGAATGTTATGCCATTTGGGCTTTAAAATGCCCCTTCTGAATTTTAAATATTATGAATGAAACATTTATTCCTTATACGGATTTTATCTTGTCATATATACATGATATTTTGATCTTTTCTCATAGTTTTGATCAACATGTTAAACATTTAGAAGTTTTTCGAAACTTAGCTATTAAAAATGGGTTAGCTATATCTGCCCTTAAAATAAAATTATTTTAAACTCAGATTAGATTTCTGGGTCATAATATAGAAAAATGAACTACTATTCCTATTGATAGAAGTATAGAATTTGCTTCTAAATTTCCCGATGAAATAACTGATATAAAACAGTTACAAAGATTTTTAGGAGCGTTAAATTATGTTGCAGATTATTATAAAGATCTGGCAAAAAATACAATCCTTTTATATGATAGGCTTAAGAAAAATGCTAAGCCTTGGACTCAGCAACATACTATTGCTGTAAGAAAAATTAAACTTAAAAGTTAAAAGTTTACCTTGTATTCATCTTGTAAATATTCACTGGTTCAAAATAGTTAAAACAGATGCATCTAATATTGGTTATGACGGTATATTAAAACAAGTAGATCCCCAAACCAATAAAGAACAAGTAGTTCGTTTTACTTCTGGTAAATGGGATAAAGCCCAGTTTAATTATTCTACAAATAAGAAAGAAATGTTAGCTATTATAAAATGTTTCTCTAAATTCAGAGATGACATATTAAATCAAGAATTCTTACTAAGAATTTATTGTAGTTCTGCTAAAAGCATCATTGAAAAGGATGTTAAAAATCTAGCTTCAAAGCAAATATTTGCTAGATGACAAGCTGAACTAGCCATGTATCAATTTCGAATTGAATATATTAAAGGTGATTATAATCATCTTCTTCACTTTTTCACCCGTGAATTTTTACAGGGTCAACATGAGACGGAGTAATCCCTCCTTTTTAGGGAGGGGGAGAGGAGGCCCAAGTTCAAGTTCAGGTCTTATAGGCCAAACTAATTCTGAAAGGAGTTATACTCCATCTCAGCCCAGTTCATGGCGAACTATTTCGAAAAAACATAATGCTTCGCATCCATCGCAAGCCTTTTATAAAGGCGTAAATGATCTTATTTCACATGAACATACTCCTGAACCCTTTACTTCTATAGTAAAGCAAGAAACTGAATGGATTGAGAAACCTCAGTCTGATATTGTTCTGTATCTAGAACAAGAGGATGTTCCATTAATGAATGATCCCGAAAAATTAAGACAGAGATATCTGCAGGATACATATTATCCAACCTTATCTTTAATCAAGAGCCTAGATGAAGACTCTATTGATGCAAAAGGGCATGGAAATTACACATTTTTGGACAACGGATAATCATAATGTCCCTCCAAGCTTCAGTAAATGTATTATTCAGGAAGTTATACTTCCTAGAAATTGGGCACTAAATCCTAATCAGGAGCTGCCACTTGTCAGAGTTCAAAATACAGAAGAAGTTTATAACTTCAATTATAGGGACTATAAACGGGCCTTTAATGAGATATTATTATATCAGAATCCCAAACAGAAGCACACTTGGCTTATCAAAATTTGTCCTGAAGCTCTTTAAAAGGGCGTTCCTACTTGGTTCTATAAATGGTGAGAAACATATGGAATTGAAATTGGTATTATTCCCGAATCCTTAATGAAGTTATACTCTTCTTGGGTAGATTACCATCCTATTCTTGCACGAATAGACGAAAGCCAGCTTATAGATGGCATGTGTTTAATACACTTCTTCGCTGAAGTTGAGATCCTATGGATCTGGAATTGGTCTATTATTTGTGATTGTACCCCTTCTCTTATGCCCGTTCTGAGAAGAAAATATTACTACAGATGATGAAACGGAATATGCATTATATGCATTGATACTAAGGTAAAACAACTTGAAGAAATTATACAGAAAAATACTTCTGTTCTAGAGTCTCATATGACTCAAGAAATTAAAAAAACAATCCAATGATGAAAATGAGACTCATAGTCACACATCTTCTATGGAAGAAGATACACCATTGCAAGATGCTCAAGACCCTGAAGATATTTGGGCCGAAATATTCAATAATCCATCAGACCTTAAAGGTAAAAGCTCAGCTTCCTAAGCAGATTAAAATTCTAGATTGAGCCTCGGGGAGCCGTCTAGAATCATCTTTTCTAAAAGCTACTTTATAAAGCAGTTTTCTAAAAGCAGCTTTTATAAAGCTACTTTTCAAAAAGAGAATCTACACTGTGCGTAGTGCAAGTCGCTTTCAGTTATTGTGTGTAGTGCGCACGAATATCGTGCCAAGTCACCTTCAACTTTAATAAAGTAATGGTCAATATCGTAGGGTGTCGAAGGAAATCGAAGGCAGCGAGTCGTCTATAAATAAGAAGTTAGAGAGTGGAGTTTGTAAGCTTGACAGAAGAGAATAAAAATCTGAGAGAAGAGAAGTCTGTATTTTGAGTGTTCCTCTATAAAATAGTTATCTTGTAAAATATTTCGGAGATCTATAAAATAGTTATACTTCCTAGAAATTGGGCACTAAATCCTAATCAGGAGCTGCCACTTGTCAGAGTTCAAAATACAAAAGAAGTTTATAACTTTAATTATTGGGACTATAAACAGGTCTTTAATGAGATATTATTATATCAGAATCCCAAACAGAAGCACACTTGGCTTATCAAAAATTTTCCTGAAGCTCTTCAAAAGGGCGTTCCTACTTGGTTCTATAAATGGTGGGAAACATATGGAATTGAAATTGGTATTATTCCCGAATCCTTAATGAAGTTATACTCTTCTTGGGTAGATTCTCATCCTATTCTTGCATGAATAGACGAAAGCCAGCTTATAGATGACATGTGTTTAATACACTTCTTCGCTAAAGTTGAGACCTCATGGATCTGGAATTGGTCTATTATTTGTGATTGGACCCCTTCTCATATGCCCGTTCTGAGAAGAAAATATTACTGCAGATGATGGAACGAAATATGCCTTGATACTAAGGTAAAACAACTTGAAAAAATTATACAGAAAAATACTTCTGTTCTAGAGTCTCATATGACTCAAGAAATTAAAAAAGACAATCCAATGATGAAAATTGCTAAAAGGATGCGAAGGAAATATCCTCAAAGCACTAAAACAGAAATTAAACAAAAGTGCTTAGAACATTTCAAAAGGCAATTCTTTGAAGCCTTTGATGAAAATGAGACTCATAGTCACACATCTTCTATGGAAGAAGATACACCATTGCAAGATGCTCAAGACCCTGAAGATATTTGGGCCGAAATATTCAATAATCCATCAGACCTTAAAGGTAAAAGCTCAGCTTCCTAAGCAGATTAAAATTCTAGATTGAGCCTCGGGGAGCCGTCTAGAATCATGAGTACATATATACATATACATATATATATGTGTATATATATGTGTATATATATGTATATATATGTATATATATGTATATATATGTATATATATATATATATATATATGTATATATATATGTATATATATATGATAAATATCCTATTTCATGGAAGTTGCTCTCAGTTGAGGAGTACCAACTCTTCATTGTATTATCCCTAAGATTAGTCCAAGAATATGATCATGGTTAGAGTTTTCTAGCATCTAAATATTTGACTAATTTAATTTCTGTCTTAATTGGCCGTAGTTGCTAATTTTGAAGTTAAACTAATTTTAGACCATTTGGTGCTTAGGAACAAAGCTTTCTGATAAGTAACAATTTTAAGCTTAATGTTAGATCTAGATGCCATTACTCAAACTATTGGCAGTCCTGCGCCTGCATTGGTAACTAACATATAACAGTGCCATAAAAAAAGAGAAGTACACAATCATATATGTCCCATCACTAATGAACTACAGCATCACATCCAAACAAATTGAGAAGAGCTTACCATACGGGAACCGCATTACCAACTGAGATTTCTTTAAACCCTAGACCAAGTATGCCATCAAACTTTGCTGCCAAGAAAGTGATACCTGGCTCTCTGGTGGTTTCAATAAATTCCTGCAGAGCAGCAAAGTCTCACTATGAATGTCATCCAAAAATATATTTGTGCATACTATAACAGGTAAGGTGTAAACTCTTGTAATGCTCCAGACCTGGTCTTTGACCACGAGATCTCCTAGTTCAACATTGTCTTCACTAAAAAAACCAGAGATTGCTCCAGTTCCATAGTGAATTGCTGCAGATTTTCCTGCATAAATGACAGCAACATATAATCACGTTATGTCACCTCACTTGACAATTTGAAATCTTTAATCCATTTTATGAGAAAGTGTCTCTGTTTGAAAAACAGAACATGTGGCAAGTATTAAAACTCATGCAACACTTATCCCAACAGGCCCAAGTTAAAGCATAGAAGCATAATCAGGAAGAAATTACTTCTTTTTGGACACTCCACCAAAGAAAAATTGTCATGGAAAACTACTCGTCCGGAAAAATAAACATATGTTTTAATTTTAAATCAAATGCATGTTAAGTTATTAGATATAACCAGCAGGCTTGTTTCTGATCTTATAAGCAGGAAGAGGGAATATCATGTATCACTAGAATAAAATTTAAGGATCCTAATTGTTTTGAAACTTGAGAATAATCGGATAATTTACAAAAAGAACCAAGCCCCCCCCAACCCAAAAAAAAAAACAAAATGATAATAATAACAATAAAATAATGTATAATGGAACCATGAAATACAACTACAATAATTCAAAATACTGAATCAGAACACTATTAAAAGAAAGCGTAAGCAGCCAACAAGAGCTTTAAACAACAAATAAGATGCACTCCAGTACTCACATACAAAAATTAATCAAACAAAAACATCATGTATAACCATTGAAAAGAACAAGACTATGTATCATATGCATAACCTGAGGTGCAGTTAACTTGCAAACTATAACGTGTGCATATCATTTATGTGCTACATAAACCGAACTAGAATGCCGTCTCTTAAAGCGGCTTTTAAGTATTGTCTTATACAGTACCACACTATCTAAAATAAAAAAAGGATGATTTTACTTATATTAGACTAAAACAGCAAGTCGCATCTGATATCACACAAAGAGCATAAGTAATTCGTGAAGCACAGGATCGAAACAAGTGTGGACCAACCATTCTTCTGATATGTGCTTGACCTAGTAGACCTATACTTTGAATGAACCCAGCAAGCAATCTGCACACACAAAACAAGTCTAATAAGTTTACAAACACTTGACATGAAACCTGTGTAACATTCGATTATTTCCAACTCACCGAGAAGTAGCACTTGGAAGATGGAACCCACAAATTAGAGCTGCCAGTATCAAATATCACAGTGAACTTCTGTGGCGGAGTACCGATGCCAATCTCCCCAAAGTACTGAGCATTCAAGTAGTTCTTTAGGGAAATGATATCAGTGGAGTGAGACCCATCGCTGAGACCTCCTCGAAGGCAGTTCAGGGGCTTGATTTCCTTCTCAGAGAACCTGCCTACGAGCCTACTGTTCTCATCCAAAGGCTTCTTCTTCAGACCAACTCGAATTAAACCTTCAGCAGTCGCCGGGAGAATCAAGGGAAGGACAAGTACGGAGAGGACCACAAATGGCAGAAAAACCCTATGCGCAGTTCCCATGCTTACCTACCAATCAAAAACACCTAATTAATGAACAGAAAGGAAAGGAAGAATAGATTATCCGTAGAAAAAGGGCATAAAACAATCTGTAGGATAAATAATACAAACGGTTCTATGTATATATTGGACTAAAAAGGAAGTGAATCAACTAGACATTAGACTGACTGACAACTAGAACCCAGAAATGAAAAACTTCAAATAAAGATAGGCTCAAAATAAGATCATCTCCAAGCTGCACATCAGGAAACTAACTGTAAATTTAACCCCATAAAAATAGAATATCCAGCATCTCTACAAGTAATCAAAACCTTCAAAAGAATAGAACTTGATCGAATATACATCATCTCTACAGATAATCAGAACGAATTTGTAAATTTAGTTCCCAAAATCCTTCATCAGTGAACCTCCACATGTAACTCTAAGCCAAATCACAACAAAGACGTGAATCTAGTGAACTATTATAAACCTTTTATTAAAAAAACCCTAAATTAGAGGGAAACAGAAGTATAAACACTGAAAAGCCTAGAATAGATGGAAAATTTAACATCCGCTGCTCTAGTTTTCCCATCTAAGATGATCAAAAGAGGCGACAGTGCTAAAAACCCTAAATCAGCTAAAAAAAATCTGAGTAAAAAGAGAAAGAAGGAAGTCAGCATACCACCAGAGAGAAAGCGATGTGAAAAAACTTCAAAGGAAACCTAAAAGACCAAAATTAGAGAAATTGGGAAACCCCAAATCGGCTAAAAATAAGGTGAAAAAGGAAAAGAGAGAAGCTAGCAGTACCGAACAAAGACAGAGTAGAGAGAGGGGTGCCTTTCTTTGCTTGTTCACCACGATAGAGAGCTCAACTGCCAGTCTTTTTCCCCTTTTGGTTTTATTTCGGCTAAATACCCATATTGGTATTTTAATTCAACCACATTTGTCAACAAGGTATTTTAATTAGGAAATTCGGCGATAAGACATTTTAATTGAATAAAATTACCATTTAGGTCCTTTTTCTCGTCGGCGGACACTTTTCCGACGAGAACTCATCACGTGCGTTGCACGTGGGGGCTTAATCTGTGTTTAAGAGCTGATGTGGCTCTGTTTTCTGACGTGGCAGGGAATTAACTCTCTCTCTCTCTCTCTCTTCTCTCTCTCTCTCTTTCTCATCTTCTTCCCCCTCATTCTCAGATCCACAAAGAACCCTCTCCGACCGTCGCCGGCAAGCCAGCACGACCGCCTCCATAACGGGGTTCGAGCTGAGGCGGTGAAGGAGGCTGACGGCGGTGAGGAGATGGAGGCGCTGGTTGGGGTCGACGAAGATGGGAGGGAGGACGTCGGAGGGTGGTTGATGTGGTCGGTGGAGGCCTGGGTAGTGCTATCGAGCGGGGAGCTCGGGGAGGAGACGGAGTTGAGGGTGGCGCGGTTGAGAGAGTCGGCGATGGGGAGCTGAGGGCAGGGATCTCAGGCGGCTGGACTTGGTAGCTGAGGCGGGTGAGGGCTGACGGGGCGGTGACGGTGTAGTGGGAGGAGAGAGGGAGAGCTTGGGGCGCCGGAGGGGTCGGAGAGGGTTCTTTGTGGATCTGAGAATGAGGGGGAAGAAGATGAGAAAGAGAGAGAGAGAGAAGAGAGAGAGAGAGAGTTAATTCCCTGCCACGTCAGAAAACAGAGCCACATCAGCTCTTAAACACAGATTAAGCCCCAACGCACGTGATGAGTTCTCGTCGGAAAAGTGGCCGCCGACGAGAAAAAAGGACCTAAATGGTAATTTTATTCAATTAAAATGTCTTATCGCCGAATTTCCTAATTAAAATACATTGTTGGCAAATGGGGTTGAATTAAAATACCAATATGGGTATTTAGCTGTTTTATTTCTATTGTTTTTTATTTTATTGGTAAATAAATTATGAGGGTCACGGAGTCGGTGATGCGAAGACTATCCGGTGATATTTATGCTTACGACGATCGTGGCCGTTCGTTTATTCATTGTAAACATAAGTAAATGCATCGAGAGAGTATTACCTATTTAACGCTGCCTTAAGTTTCTGTACATCTTTTTTTTTAAATATCGAGTTTTTTTCCTCTTCTTTCGTTCTTAAAATTAATTTAAAAATTCTTCTACCCGTTCGTCAATTTCGTGCCGCACCGAGAAATATTCTACTTGTTCCCAACCAATATTGATCCCATCAAGCAAACGTAACTTTTGGAAATTGCTGAGTCCCTTCCAAGGTCCCAATCATGAGGGTAGTGAGAGGTAACATAACTACAGTCCACATCAACGATGTCTTTTTCCAAAAGGTCCATGCTAATATAATTCTCATCTATATCTACATCTATACCTATATTGTGTATATAAAAAAGGATTGATGTGTTGAAATTTTTATATTCCCCTTTTGCCTTCTTAATTTTTGATATTTTTTAATTATATCAATTATCTCTAATTAGCTAACTAATCTAATACTATTTTAAAATAAATTTTCCCAAAATGTCTTTCGAGTTTCGTTCGTAATCACCAATACGCCCTCATATGTCATTAAATATCAGTTTTAAAACTTTCGTTGTTTTTGCTAAAATTTTACTATTAAGTTTAATATTTAATTAATTTTAATAATCAATATTTATGAATATTATTTTTTAACTAGAGTAAAGTCTAATAATCTGATCCAATACTAATCCATTCTTATACTAGATGTATACGCATAGATAAAATATAATTTGTAGCATAATACAGTAGAAATAGACATAAATGTTATGTAGATATAATACTATAGGTATTAAATTTATCCGTAAGATATGTTATATATTAATATAACATTATTGCATAATTATAATGTTGATGTATAATTATAATATATTACCACTATTGAAATATTAAAATATATTCGATGTAAAAGAATATTATCCCTATTAAAGAAAATCGGTAACATTCATCAAAAGTTAAAGAAGCTTATAGCATATGTCCTTATATAACATTTAATTTAGCATTAATCGATATTAATTTAGCATATGTCTTTATATAGCATGAAGTAACAAAATGTGCATTTTTGAGTCCCATGCTTAAATACATTCATGTATAGCATTAATCATAAAAGAGAACTTTTGAGAATCACGTTTAGCCTCTTCATCGTTAATAAAGACTCTTCATCTCTTCTAACTATCAAACTCAATAATCCATGAATGTCTTACCTTATGCCTTACCGTTCATCTTAAAAATTTCTCTACTTTCAAAAGTGAAACTCCAAACCACTTATTTTTCCTTGCAAAAGCTAGCATTTGGGCCTTTCTATAGCTCACGTTTGACCTTCCTTCAACAAAGTCGATTTTTCCCAGCCCTGCATATCGACAAACATCAATGATAGTGTACGCTTTGTGTGGTACTGCTAGAAGATGATGATGCAATGTCGGTCATGCTTTTACGATATCATCTTCCTCATTGTCACCAGCGAATCACACCTTACCCTCTACTGTTGCGGGATTGTTCGGGCTATCAGGCACCAGCACGTCGTCAATGCTCGACACTATAAAATTTATAGCTAAAGATGGTGACATTCTTTATGGGTTATACGACGTTCTTTGTAGGTTTTACGGTGCCAAGATAAGGAACCAGTGGTTGCTGCTCTGCTCTGCGGATGCTACTACTGCTACATAGTTGAAATATTAATATTATTGATTTGATGTGGGTTGTTTGTTTTGCGGGATATACACAATATTAGTGGAGTATAATTTAATAGAATTGACTTTGATTTCATTCACTGCTGGAAACATAACTTTTAGCGACGGACAAATCCGTCGCTAAAAGTCGAAAATCCGTCGCTAAAACCTTTAGCGACGGAAAATATAAAATTCCGTCGCTAAAATATCGTCCGTATAGTGAGGGTAGCTGAAATTTGTTTTAGCGACGGATATTTCGTCGCTAAATTTTAGCGACGAAAAATTAGCGACGAATAATCCGTCGCATTACTTTATTTTAAAAATTTAAAAAACTTTAGCGACGGATTTTCCGTAGCTAAAAAATCTTTTAGCTACGGAAAAGCCTTCGCTAATAACTATTAGCGACGGAAAATCCGTCGCTAATAACTATTTTTGAAAAAATAAAAAAAAAACGAATATTCCGTCGCTATTAACTTTAGCGACGGAAAATCCGTCGTTAATATTATCTATTTGCCGTCGCTAAAAGTGTATTTAGCGACGGATAATCCGTTGCTAAAATATTCCAATATTTTTTTAAAAAATATTTTGAAAATTGAAAAAACCTGTACAATAATATAATAAATTTAAAATCCTGTTCAATCAGCAGTATAATATTCATTCTCACGCATATATAACACATAATTTAAATATCTAAAGCCGATGGTGTTAAACCTAAAGCCGTTGATACAGTAGCCTCCATAACGATGGTGTTAAACCTAAAGCCGTTGATACAGTAGCCTCCATAACGCTTTACCACGTTAGAAGGACCTCTGGCATATAAACATATTTTTGCAGGCAGGTTAACCCCATTCGTAATACGTCGGTCAACCTTTAAGAAAAGAAACAAATAGTTTAAATATCTGTTGTCAGGCACATATTTGATATACGAATCAGAAATGTAAATAAATCTTACTTCACCCTTCAGCCATGCAGGGAATTGTCTAGAGTGTGTGTCCATAACTCTTTTGTTTTTTGTTCTGCATTTAAGAATAGTCTGGACATATCGGATGTGAAACCTAGAATAAAATTATTTACAACAGTTAAATAGAGATAGTTATTGTGATGTGATATGATCTGATTCAAACAGTTAAATACTTACGCCGAGTATATGTTAAATGTAGTATCATTACTCAAGATATATGTGTGGGCTTGATCTAGCTCCATTCTGGGGAATCTAGTGTCCTCCCCACGATCATTATAGAATGTTCCGTCAATTATTCGTTGGGGACGGTTGAGCCTTGTCTCCACACCCCGCAAGTAACGAGAGATGAAATTCAAACTCTCATTACTTATATAGTTCTCTGCTATCGATCCTTCAGGACGTGCACGATTATGCATCAAATGTTTCATGAAACCCAAATACCTACAAGCATATAGTTTCATGATTTGTGACAAAATAAAACTGATATACGTAATTTAACAAATATTAATTGAGCATTATAATAATAAATACCTCTCCACAGGGTACATCCAGCGATATTGAACTGGTCCTGCGATGCGGGCTTCATATGCTAAATGTATTGTGAGATGCACCATGACCGTAAAGAACGAGGGTGGAAATAGAATTTCCATTTTACACAGTGTATTGGCTACACGTCCCTCTAATTCTTCAAACTCCCTGACATCAATCACCTTGGAGCACAACTGCTTGAAGAAACCGCAATATTCTATTACCACCATCGCGAGTTCCTTCTCAGCATGTCGCAACGCAACCGGGAGAAGTTGATGCAATAGAATATGATGGTCATGTGTCTTGAGTCCCAAAATTTTCCTGTCCTCAATATGCACATTTGCTGAAATGTTTGAAGCATAACCATCCGGTGTCTTCACGGACTTTAGAAATAAACACATATTATGGATCTCATCCTTCGACAGTGTGACACGGGAGGCTGGGAGTACAAACTTTCCGTCACCCTTATCTATAGCTTGCAGTTCGGGACGGATGTTCAATTCTGCTAGGTCTCGACGTGCCCTTAAGTCATCTTTTGATTTTTTCCCATCCTGCAACAAAGTGTTCAAGAGATTCTCGCATATGTTCTTCTCGATGTGCATGACATCCAAGTTGTGACGTATTTTTAAACTTCTCCAATATGGCAATTGATAAAATATGCTGAATTTTGACCATCCACGCGAAAGTTCAGTACCCTTAGAGGCACGCACATGCGATTAGACAGTGCGAGGTTTATTTCCCATCCTTGTTTGC